AGCTTGATGTGCTCAACTCTTATGGACCAAGAAATATCTTGAAGCTCCTATTAGACCTGGCTGAGATAATCAAACTGATGTTGGGAATGCTGAAACCTTCTTGAATGGATTCTGCCTGAAGCAATCAACTCTCTTATGACTATTGATGAGTCCGAGATTTGGACTCATTTAGAGCTTTATTTGTATAGGTTTAGTGTCCTCAAATGTTCATTTTGTGCCAATAACTGATGAAAGTCCTTGATTTTTAGGATTATGGATTAAGGAGAAAAGCATGGACACTACGTTGCAAAAGGAGCAAAGCGAGCTGAAAGAAGGAAGAAAAGAGAGCATGGTGATCGCCAAGTCCATTTGACGACTCGCTGAGTGGCCTCAATGATAGCCTAAAGTTCTAGAGTGCTAAGCCCTGAACGAGAAAATCAAGTTGGCAAGAGAAAGGAACAATCGGCGGATCGCCGAGTGGTTCCGCGTGCAGTGTTAGATCGCCCAAAGTTACAGGACTGGAGGATACTAAAGGTTAAGACAAAAAGGCGATGAAATTGGCTAAAGTGCGCATCTCCAAGTTGATCGGCGAGCCCGACTTACTGCGCCGAATGGCTCTTCGCAGTATTTTTTTGCCGGCTATAAATACATTTTTGAATATTTAGTTTGAGAGCTTTATCAATATCTGATAATCATTTTTTCATCTGGAATTGAGAGTTCTGAACTGAGAGACAAGATTTCTTTAGCTTTGAAGAATTGAAACTTTTCATTTTTGAGAAATTGAAAGTGGGTCTTTAAGATTCTTCAATTTGGATCTTTGTAAAGACGAAGTTAATCTTACACAGTTGATGGAAACACAATTTGGTAACGATTTTTATCTTTTTATGATGTCTAGCTAAAACCCCAATTATTGATGTGTGATTATGTGATTATGGGCTGATTTAGCTAATGGGTGTTGCTAATTGTTAGTGTAATTGTTGTTTAGAAGTGAGTTCAATCATTTATTGTGTGTTAATTTAGGAATTGCAGTTGCAAATGTGATTCCACCTTTGTGTTATTGGCTTACTGAAGAGAGAGGTTTTAGAACTAAGGTATTTGATTGATGGTCGGTGGGTATTGGGTTGGCCCGGGTTCAGCTCGAGAGAGTGAATCCTAAACCCTTTTCCACATATTCAGCTCAAGAGAGTGAATGGACTAAGGTGTGGGTTCTTCTTATTTTGCATGATTGTCGATGTTCGAAAGAAATCGACTTGATTCGGGGTAAATTGTTCGAGAGAAAGTTTATCCCCTCTATAGTCTAGCTTACTCACTGATTTTCAGTTGTTTTCTAATAGTTACAACTACCCATTTGCCTATAATAGTCTGTAATCGAATCACATCTCAAGAACTCGTCTCATAATTGCTATTTTTTGTGTTATTTGCTGCTGTTGGGAGTTGTTAATTTCACAACCAAAACCCCCATTTGACATTAGTGTCAACCCCTGATTTAAATTTTGTTTTATTTGATAATGTCTATTCCTATGATTGATTTGAACTTATTCGTACTTACCTATTGAATATTAAGCACGTACCGCTCTCTATGGGAACGATCCCAACTCACTTAGTTGGGTTATATACTGACTAGCGATCGTTGACACTTCGAATTGGAAGAAGTGTCCTTGAAACGTTAATCAATTATGCAAAGGGAGCAGGTATCCTTACTTTTTAGTTATGTATGTTTTAGCAAATTCAGTCTCATACCTTCTATAGGTATACACACATGGAAAAAGGGCAGAAGGAAAAGGTAGGTTAGGACAGATCTAGGCCATCACATTAAAACTACATAGAGGGACCTGGTCCGTTCTCAAAGGTTTAGCACTCTTAACATTGCAGTTTGAATTATGCATGAGAAACGTTGCAATTGCCACATGTCTGTCATTCAGGTATTTGACCGTTGTCCCATCATTTGAGTACCAAAATGACACTTCCTTTCACTTCATTTATACTCCATATTTCTTTTCAAATTCCCTTCCAAAATCAGAAATTTTCAAAAACCTTCTTTTCTCCTTTCTCAAAAAACACTTCAAATGGTTATACCATTTGCTAGAATTTTCTGATGAAGATGTTTTTAAGTGTGAAGAGGGACCAGGTCTTACAAACAAAAAGAAGAAGGTGGAAAAAATGATGTTCAAAAAGGAAGAGGTTGATATTCTGAGAACTCAAAGTTTTCTGAATAGGAGGGTGTGTGACCTTAAAAAAAATGAAAAAAAAAATGAAATGGTTCCTCAGTTATTGATCCATTCATCTCGGAGGCCTTGAGTAAGTTTGATTCTACCAATCTTTTTGTCATGAGAAACTCAGGCTTGCATTGGAAGCTATGATAGTTGTTATTGCTAACAGGGATACCGAAATGGTTTGTCTTAAGGTTCAGCTTCTGAAACAGCACAACCAGAGGGACCAGGTTGGAAAAAAAATTGGCAGTCCCGAAGGTTCAACATTAAGGCTGGGCAGCAAAGAATGTGAGCTTCAAGAGAGGCTTCTGAAAATACCATGCTAAGGGATATGCTCTACTAATTTTATTCTTTCAATCCCTTGCCTCTAAGTCATCCCTTCTCTTCCTAACTTTCTATGTCAGTCCTCATTCCTCTTTTTCTATCAAAACTGAGTGGGCATTGTTCTGGTTTTCATTCATAATCATATTTGCAATGCTTTAATGGCTGATCTTTTATTTATGGATGAATAATGTCTTGTTTCTACTGACTTGTCTCATTACTTTATGCATTTTTACTCATGCTTAGTGTTGCCCAAGTGGCCATGAATTTTCTTGAACAGCATTTCTATCAACTTGGTTTACTGCTTTAACCCTTTTTTATGATGTCAAAAAGGGGAAAATTGTTAAGGTATGAGATCAATTATGGTAGCTACTTGAAGAAAACATGGTCATGTCGATAGGGGGAATCTTAAGGTATGAGATCAATAAGGTTAAGTACTTGAAGAAGACATGGTCATGCCGATATGGGGAATCAATGCTAGCTACTTGTAGAGGAAATGGTCATGTCGATAAGGGGAAGAAGTTGAACAAGTTTGTCATCATCAAAAAAGGGGAAAATACTATTTTTGATGTTTTGATGATTTGACAAACCTCAGGGATGATGAAACTCCAGTTACCTGAAGAGTTCTTGTTGAAAGGGGAACTGGTGAATAAGTTCGGTATCATCAAAAAGGGGTAAAATGTTATTTTGGAGCTAATGTTAAGTTTTGATGATTTAACAAACTTAGAGATCTAGCAAGGAACCAGATCCTTGTTATTGGGACTGATGACAGTGAAATGAATGAATAAACTCAGTGTGAGGAATATTTGTGTGTCATCATCAAAAAGGGGGAAAATATTGTATTCTAGGTGTTTTGAAGATCCTCACAAATGCAGGGGCTGGTCCCTGGCAGAGTGCTCTTGTCCAGATTCAAATAGAGTACAACTGTAAAGCTGTCATGTGAGGTGGTAGGTCAAAAATTGCAGTGTACTGCACCAATAGAAAGAGCGGACGAGACTTTATGTTTCAGTGGCTCACAATTGCAGGGACTCGATCCCTGGCTGAGTTTGCTCATCCAGATCTATAGTGGTGTACAACTGTAAAGTCGTCCTGTCAGAGGTTGGTGAGGCGTCAGCGTACTACACCAATCATAATGGATGAGGTTGTTTGTCCAATGGTCAATAACTCTTTATGGTTGACTTAGTCAACATGACAAACAACAAATTAAATTATTCATTCAAAAGGAGAGGGAGCCAGCAAGTCTCTCAAGAACTCACTAAGAAAAGTTTGCAAGGGATCTGGTCCCTTCAAGACTGCGTATGTGAAAGGACGACAAGACATCTATCAGAAAATTTGTCACTTCTGATGTGGTAGGTGCATGTCTTTCCAGAGAGACAAGCTCTCAACCAATGGCGGTCCCAAGGAGTTTGTGTTCATTTTGATATAATCTCTCAACACAAAACATAAACTTAAGATTTGGCAAACAAAACTTGGATTTTCTCTGAAAATTCACAAGCTTGAAAAGAGAAGGCCATCTTCACGGAAGAACACAGCTCATATCAACAAGGGGGCAGTTGGAGTACTGAAGCGTCTTGTTGTATTTAGAGTTGTGTATCTTATGTGCTTAAATTGTAAATTTATTCCTATATTATAATGGAATTAGATTTTTTGTTCTGTTCATCTAAACGTCTAAGTCAGTTAAGGGTAGCTGATTTAGTAGGCAGTCTTGTATCTACTTAGTTAAATTCTAAGTTATCTAGAGTTAGGTAGCTTAGTGGGCAATGTGGTATCTGCTTAGTTGCTTTCTTTGTGGTAGAGTTACTACATTGAGGGGGAAGGGATTTAGAGGTAAATTTCTAGGTTGCAAGAAGTTATAATCTGAAAAATCGTTGCTCCGTTTGAGTGAAATGGAGTTTGGGTTGAAAAGCCTGTGAGGACAGGTCGTGGTTTTCACCGCCCTTGAGCAAGGGGGTTTCCATGTAAAACTCTTGTGCACGTTTTACATTGTGCTATTTATTTTCCGCATTTTTACTTCTGCACTGTTATTCTGTCGAGGGACCTGGTCCCGAGATCACTGGTAGTGGTTGCTGAAGCATATTAAACATCCAAATTCTGATGCAAAACTACATCTATGACTTGAGTGTACGTAAAGAGATGGAACCGATGAGATTGACTAAATTATATATATGGAAGCTCCCAACAGAAAATGTAGTTCGTTTAAAAATTATATTAGAGTTGTTTGAGAATTGGGGATGAGTTGATTTATAATAACTACTACTAGATAACATACCATAAGTGAAACTTCTTTTTACGTAGGAGTCATACATATTACTTTATTTCTCAACTACTTCAACACATGTGGAAACATTTATGACACTTATGTATTCAGATGAACACCCTCGCGGGGCCTTAGATCCATCCCTGAATATATAAATGGATGTTTTCTAGTGAAATCTAATTGTTAATCGAAAGTGGAGCCCTATATTTATTCCTTGTAGCAAGCGTGGGAAACTAATTAAACAAGTTACTCGTACCACAATTAGTGAAAACAGGATCCTCACCACAAAAAGTATCAGGTAGTTCATCATCAATAAGTCTGGGCTTCCATCCGTTAGAAATACTTGTTGGAATTGTCATCGGATCTTCGACCATCTTCTTTGTCAATTTTCCAGCATGGTGGTCCAATATAGTCATAATGTGTTCCTTAACTACAATCTCCATGGATGGTTGAGCTCCCACCATGTTGTATCGACCCTGAGAGAAACAACTATAACTTTTACATAGCATGATCAACCACAACATAACCAGTGGAATCTGGGGAGGATAGAGTGTACCCAGACCTTACAACTACCTCATGGAGGTAGAGAGGTTGTTTCCGATAAATATGTATATATATCAAATCAATCAAAAAGCTAAGTAATTAATAAAACAATTTATTTATTTATTTATTTTACTCACACATATATCGTGCATATCATACTACTTGACATTTATTATTATTTTTCGATAAACCCTTAGTTCAATAAAAAAATAATCCAATGAAGTATAGAGAAATAAATAATGAAAACAATCCAAACAGTCAAATTATGTCACATAAATTGAGACAAACAGAGTAGTTAGGTACGGCAAGAGATATATACCATGACTAAGAGATGAAGAGTTGAGAGAGGAGCAATGGAGACGAGCAGAAGTTGAACTCCGGCAAGAAATGAGAGAGACCGACAAACATTACGATGATAAATAGGTAACAACTGTATTTTATGAAAGATTTTGCGATGGTGACTGTGAAAATGGATCACTTATTCATACTCTCAAAAAAAACATTTATAGTAAAATCTCACGAAATTAATGGAAGACCATAAAATATCATTATTTTGCAATTCAGTGAACGAAGATTAATTTTAACTACATTAGAATCACTAATGTAACTTAATATTTATATTCTATATCTGTCCACTCATTAATGAAAGTCAATTTGACTAATTTTCAAAGTTAAATTAGATTACATTAATTCAATATTTTAAACAAAAATAATTTAGATATTCAAAAACTATACGAAAAGTATTATAAATTTCATTTATTTGCATATCAATATGATGAAAAAAATACATCGTTAAATGTTAGTCAAAGTTATTATCTTTTGACATCAAAAAAGAAAATTATGACAATTAGAAGTAGACGGGAGTAGTATCATATTTATTGAATGCACATAAAAATAAAATTATTTATTATATATAAAGTATAATGAATACATCAAAATAATTGTATCTTACTAATTCTATTTATTGAATTCATATAAAAATATATTCATTATACATAAAATACAATGTATGTGCATGATTCATTGTAAAATAAATTCAAGTATTTGATAATTCATTAGAAAATTAAATTCATTATACAAAATGTTCATTGTTTCTTAGAGCCCGTTTGGATTGACTTAAAAAAAGTAGTTTTAAAGTCAAAAATAAAAAGATAAACTTAAATGACTTTTAAGTCAAAAAATAAAAAAGTAGGGGGAGACCTACTTTGGCTTTTTACTTATTTTAAGTCATTTAAACATATTTAACTTATTTGTCTTTTGACAATATTTATTGTTGTAAAAACTTCTAACTGAAATTGAGATAATGTTATTGCATCCAAAATTGCCAAAAACTTTAGTAGCATTTATATAGAGTGTTGTATGCAATAACATTAACTCAATTGTAGTTATAAGTTTTTACAACAATAAATATTGTTGCTAAAAGTATTCTATAACCACTAAGGCTATCACTTAATGAAGATCTTAATCTTAATCATTCAGATCTTAGACATTAAGTGTGTTCGACTCTAAAAGTAACGAAAACGATCCAAATAGTCAAACTACGTAACATAAATTGAGATGAACTGAGTAGTTATGAAGGGCAAGAGATATATACCATGGCGAAGAGATGAAGAGTTGAGAGAGAAGCAATGGAGACGAGAATAAGTTGAACTGCGGCTAGAAATGACGGAGAACGGCAGAACATTCCGATGCATCAACCGCATTTTATGGTGTTCAAAATTGAAATTAAAGATTTGTGATAGTGACTGTGAAAATGGATCACTTATTTACACTCTCAAAAAAAAATTAAAGTAAATTCTCACGAAATTAATGGTGGACCATAAAATGTTAATATTTTGAGAGATTCAGTGAATGAAGGTTAATTTTGACTACATTAGAATCATTAATGTAGCTTATTAATTTATATACTATATTTGTCCCCTTTTAATTGTCATATTGCACTTTCTAAAAGTCAATTTGACTAATTTTCAAAGTTAAATTTGATTACATTCATTCGATATTTTAAACAAAAAATTTAGATATTCAAAAATTATACGAAAAGTATTATAAATTCTAATTTTTGCATATCAATATGATGAAAAAATACATCGTAAAATGTTAGTCAAAGTTATTATCGTTTGACTTCAGAAAAGAAAACTATGACAATTAAAAGTGGACGGAGGTAGTTGAATATTTATTGAATTCACATAAAAATAAAATTATTTATTATATATAAAGTACAATGAATACATCAAAATGATTGTATCTTACTAATTACATTTACTGAATTCATACAAAAATATATTTATTATACATAAAGTACAATGTATGTATATGATTCATTCTAATATATATTTTTTTGTAAAATAATTTATTGTAAGATAAATTTAATAATTCATTATAAAATTGAATTCATTATACAAAATGTTCATTGTTTCTAAATAATCAAATTATTATTCATTATATTTTTACTATAAACATCCAATGTATGATGGTGAGAATAAACTATATAAGCAACATAGGAAATTTCTTGAAACCATATCCAAAAATGGCTTCTCATTTAAAAGATATTACAAAAATCAACCATATATTTGTATAGGGGTCTTCTAAAAATATATTATCTTAATATCTTATCGAAATGAGTGATTTTTTTCATTGACCCAAATCGTGACCGGATGAAAATCTTGTCTTAGAAAGATTATTAATTTATCGAGTATTAAATTAGTGATGTTTTACTGAACTTCTACTTTCTATTTGTTTGGCCATCCATAATGATCCAAGTGTCAGATTATGCGGCAACTTCGGGTTTCTTTAATTTATTTTTTATTCTTAGTATTAATTACTTATTTTCTAAATAATATTTTAAGATTTATTAAAAATCAAATAATAGGGATAATATTGAAAATGGATCACTTATTTATACTCTAAAAAAACATTTAAAGTAAAATCTCACAAAACTAATGGTGGACCATAAGATATTATTATTCTGAGAGATTAAATGAATGACAGTTAATTTTGACTACATTAGAATCATTAAAGTAACCTATTAATTTATATACTATATCGGTCAGCTTTTAAATTGTCATATTGCACTTTTCAAAATTCAATTTGACTAATTTTCAAAGTTAAATTATATTACATTAATTCGATATTTTATAAAAAATTAGATATTCAAAAATTATTCAAAAAGTACTATAATTTCCAACTTTTTGCATATCAATATGATAAAAAATACATCGTAAAATATTAGCCAAGCTCTTGCTGGAAATGACCTCAGCATCACAAGCTCTTGCTGGAAATGACATCAGCATCACAAGTTATCACATGTCTCATCACGGTGGCCAACAATCAATTTATTTTTCTATCTACCATATGGTAATTTTCATTTTTAGTAATAATTTCAATTGACACAATAAAATAGAAACTGGAAGTTAGAAAAGAATTGAAAAGTGTAAGTTACCTTGCAATTAATAATGTTGCTCTTCTTTGTGTTTATTTAATTTTTTGTTTATATGAAGATTGAAGAGGTTTATAGTACATTCATGCATGGACAAAATCAATATGTTTTGACATAAGAAAAGTAAAAAAATTGTTAATGTACGTATTTTGATTTAGTTTTGAATTAATCTATTTAATTATGTTACATATTGTAGTTGGACATATAATATTAAAAGCTAGGCAAAGATGTCTTCGTCAAGAAACAACGATGAGAAGTTGAAGATAAGGAATAAGTTGGAAGAGGTGAGAGAACATATACAAGAGTGAACAAGCTACGTTAAACCACTTGACCAGGTACAAGTGAATCATGGATGTAATTCAAGGAGAGTTGATGCCTCAAATCAAATCAATAGATTGAAAGATTATGAGACCAAGCTCAAAGAAAAATTGATGGAGAAGGGTGTGAGTTACTACAAAAAAAATTTAATTTCTACTAAGATTTAGGACTTCCCCAAATTTGTTATTAGCTAACTTTGGACTTCCAATTTTATATTCTAGTCAAGTACTACTTTTTCTTATGTTGAACTTTGCTTTATTTTATTTTCGGATTATCATATCATATCATCATCATCATTAGAAAATTATTTGTCAAATTCTATGGCATATATGAAGAAAAAAAATGTTAGCTGATAAAAACAGTCTATCTATATCTGTCTATTTAGATCTGATTAAGATTCAGATCTTCATTAAGTGTCTGCCTTAGTGGCTATGGATTAATTTTAGAGTCAAACAAACTTAATGTCTAAGATCTAAATAATTAACATTAAAATTTACATTAAGTGCTAGCCTTAGTGGTTATAGATTTACTTTTAGCGGCAATATTTATTGTTGTAAAAACTTCTAATGGCAATTGAGTTAAAATGTCATTGCATCCAGAATCGTCAAAGACTTTAGCAACAATAATGTAGAGTGTTGTTTAAAATACTCATATTAAATATTGTAGTGAGATTACGAGGTAGGGGATTTAAACCCTCACTAATTGAGCTACTAAGATTCTCCAAATTCATTCTCATTTCATTTGGCTAGTTAGTTTCTTTTTTTCATGTACTCTGGCCCTTGAAAATACATTTGGCACAGAACAATTTATCTTAAGTACTGATGATCTGCATAGACAAGCTACTTTATCTTCACATTCTTTCTGTTTCTCATCAGGATCACTATCAGTGACAATTCGAGCCTCAGATTGGAGATGTGCAACCCATTCCTGACGTTTGCTGGCATCCGTGTATGAATACATTGTGTCATAACGAGGTCTGTTCATGAATACCAGCGTCCTTAGAGCTAATCCTATGTCCATGCCACCTGAAAATGAAATGCCTCCAAATCCACCACTGTAAGGCACTCTCCGACCCACTTCTAGTTGATCGATCAACTCCATCGCCTTAACTTGGATCATACATGAACAAAGAACAGGACTATAAATAATTCCATATTGTACAAATTTATAGAAACATGTTAAATCTAGTAATGAATGAAACTTCAACTTTGGTCCTTATAGTATTAAGACAAATAGATAAGCTCGTTTGGTTGGAGAACTAGTTATCCTGGGATTTGTAACATTTCTATGAACAATGAATGACCAACGAATTTAAAGTCGCAAGTGTAACCTTTGGTGCTCCACAGATGGTCCCAACAGGCAATGCAGCCCGGAGTGCATCCCAACAGGTTAAATGATCAAGCAACTCTCCCGACACCTGTGGCGGAAAAAATGCCATGCTTGTAAAGATTGTCTAGACATATCAAGTAGTAGGAAGTCAGATTTTGCATCACATGAAACAACCAAAGATCAACATTCACAGAACCAGGTTTTGATACCTAGCAAGAAAAATGTTGAAATTTCGGTAACTCATCGTATTTTTCAAGTGCATGTCAAAACATATTCATCAGGAACACAAGATAGATGCTAACACTGTTATAAATCAGAGATAACAACTAACAAAAAATTATAGTATTAAACCTTTCTTACATCATTTCGTCCTAAATCGACTAGCATGATGTGCTCCGCACATTGTTTCTCATCTTTTAACATCTGCATTTCCAACATCACATCCTCATCAGGTGTCCTCCCTCTTCTACTTGTCCCAACTAATGGTCGATTAACAATTCTTCTCTGTCAATGGAACAAATGAACATTACAAACTCTCAAAAAAACTAATTAGATGTGTGAAACAGAGAAAAAGGGAGAAGAACAATATCATCCCTCTTACTTTCTTCACACGCGTCAAAGTTTCTGGACTCGATGCAACTAAAGTACAGCCTCTGGCCTGATATAGAAAAGATAACATAGCAACTTCACTGAAGCACAGGTAATATCAGACATTTAGTCACACTGAAAACACAAAGAACAAACGACTTACTTGTATGTAAGTCATGTATGGGCTTGGATTCACAATTCTTAATGTTCTATAGACTTCAAATGGATCAGCAAATATTCTTCTCTCAAAACGTTGACTTAAAACAATTTGATGTATGTCTCCTGAAGCAATGTGTTCCTTTGCCTGTAAGATGGCATTCTTGTACTCCTCACGTGTCATGTTTTCCGTGGTTAACGAAGTTCCAAATTCATGAATACAGAAATCCACAGAACTGGGAGATAACCTTGGACTAAAAAATAAAAATTCAAAATGTAAATAATGTTTCTCAGTTGCTTGTATTTATGCAAAAAAGGAAAACGAAAAAGGACTTACGACTCGATTCCTTGTACTCTAGACATTAATATTTCCAAGTGTTTCTTCCCATCAAGATAAGCCTCAGGAAGAGAGGAATATTGATCCAACCGCACCCAGTGAATCACATGCACTTTCTGCAGGAACAAGAAGTACTTATCCTGTTCTCATATATATGCACCAAGTGTAAATCAAGAACAAACGGCGATAATAGCTTGACTTTGAAAAGGCCGGACATATAAGAAGTAATGGTAGAGAGACTACTCATAAGTGCAAAATTCGACAAACATACCTTCTCTACATGATCAAATACAATGACATCCTCATAAAGTCCTAACTGATTATCTGCGAGGTTCCGGTCATCCTCTGCAGCCCTTAGGAATGGTAACTTTTTGTTCTCTACATACCGAACTGTGTCATATGAGAAGTAACCAAACCATCCACCTGTTTGAAGTGATATTAATGACAGTAAACTTGTGATTTGATTAAGAAAATGCAGAGTGAAGTGATCATGCCAGCAAATCATGTGCATGGAGCTCAAGCTGTAGTAGCCTTCCCAAATACAACAACATACCCTAAACTTCCGAATTCTGATGCAAAACTACATCTATGACTAGATTGTACGTAATGAGATGGAATCGATCAGATTGACTAAATAATATGGAAGCTCCCAACAGAAAATGCAGTTCATTTAAAAAAAATTATTGGAGTTGGTTGAGAATTGTAGAGTTGATATATAATAACTAATACTAGATAACATACATATTACTTTATTTCTCAACTACTTCAACACATGTGGAAATATTTATGACTCTCATGACACTTATGTACTCAGATGAACACCCTCGCGGTTCCTTAGATCCACCCCTGAATATATAAGTGTATGTTTTCCAGAGGAAACTAGTTGTTAATCGAGAGCAGAGACCTATATTTATTCCTTGTATCAAGCTATAGTGGGAAACTAATTAAATAAGATGCTCATACCACAGTTAGTGAAAACAGAATCCTCACCATAAAAGGTATCAGGTAGTTCAACATCAATAAGTCTGGGCTTCCATCCGTTGGTAATACTTGCTGAAATTGTCATTGGATCTTCGACCATCTTCTGAGTCAATTTTCCAGCTTGGTGGTCCAATATAGTCACATTGTGTTCCTTAACTACAATTTCCATGGATGGTTGAGCTCCCACCACGCTGTATCGACCCTGAGAGAAACAACTAACTTTTACCTAGTATGATCAACCACAATATACCCAGTCGAATCCCATGGAATCTGGGGAGGTAGAGACGTTGTTTCCGATAAATATCTATTTATTATCAAATCAATCAAAAAGCTAAGTAAATTTTTTTTAAGAAAAACTTACAACTCATACAGAAAACTTGGAGCTTCACGATCCTCTTCTTTCACCAAACATCGGTTTGCCAACACCGGAGTCAGATGATCAGAAAAAATGGTTCTGTGAAGCGGAATCAAGTTTCCGCTTTTAGAAACTTCAATGAACCTCTTCTCATCCATAACTGAACAAAAGGAAAAAGTAATTTATTTATTTATTTATTTTACTCACACATATATTGTACATATCATACTACTTGACATTTATTATTTTTTTCGATAGACACTTAGCTCAATAAAAAAATAATCCAAAATAGTATAGAGAATGAAATAACGAAAACAATCCAAACAACCAAATTACGTCACATAGATTGAAACAAACTGAATAGTTAGGTACGGCAAGAGATATATACCATGACGAAGAGATGACGAGTTGAGAGAGGAGCAATGGAGACGAGTAGAAGTTGAACTCTGGCTAGAAATGAGAGAGACCGGCAGAACATTCCGATGACATATAAGTAACTTTGACTACATTAGTATCATTAATGTAACTTATTAATTTATAGTAAAATCTCACTAAATTAATGGTGGACCATAAAATATTATTATTTTGAGATTCAGTGAATGAAGTTTAACTTTGACTACATTAGTATCATTGATGTAACTTATTAATTTATTTTCTATATATGTCCACTCATTAATGAAAGTCAATTTGACTAATTTTCAAAGTTAAATTAGATTACATTAATTCAATATTTTAAACAAATATAATTTAGATATTCAAAAACTATACGAAAAGTACTATAAAATTCCATTATTTTTGCATATCAATATGATGAAAAAAATACATCATTAAATGTTAGTCAAAGTTATTATCTTTTGACTTCAAAAAAGAAAATTATGACAATTAAAAGTAGACGGGAGTAGTATCATATTTATTGAATGCACATAAACATAAAATTATTTATTATATATAAAGTATAATGAATACATCAAAATAATTGTATAATTATATTTATTGAATTCATATAAAAATATATTCATTATACATAAAATACAATGTATGTGTATGATTCATTGTAATATTTTTTTTTTGTTAAATGATTCATTGTAAAATAAATTCAAGAATTCAATAATTCATTAGAAAATTAAATTCATTATACAAAATGTTCATTGTTTCTTAGAGCCCTTTTGGATTGACTTAAAAAAAAGTAGTTTTAAAGTCAAAAATAAAAAGATAAATTTAAATGACTTTTAAGTCAAAAAAATAAAAAAGTAGGGGAAGACCTACTTTGGCTTTTGACTTATTTTAAGTCATTTAAACATATTTAACTTATTTGGCTTTTGACAATATTTATTGTTGTATAAACTTCTAAGAGCAATTGAGATAATGTTATTGCATCCAAAATCGCCAAAGACTTTAGCAACATTTATATAGAATGTTGTATGCAATGACAATAACTCAATTGTCGTTATAAGTTTTTACAACAATAAATATTGTTGCTAAAAGTAATCTATAACCACTAAGGCTAGCACTTAATGAAGATCTTAATCTTAATCATTCAGATCTTAGACATTAAGTGTGTTCGACTCTAAAAGTAACGAAAATGATCCAAACAATCAAACTACGTAACATAAATTGAGACGAACTGAGTAGTTAGGAAGGGCAAGAGATATATACCACGACGAAGAGATGAAGAGTTGAGAGAGCAGCAATGGAGACGAGAATAAGTTGAAATTCGGCTAGAAATGAGGGAGAACGGTAGAACATTCCGATGAGAGATAGGTAACAACTGCATTTTGTGGTGTTCAAAATTGAAATGAAAGATTTGTGATAGTGACTGTGAAAAATGGATCACTTATTTATACTCTAAAAAAAAACATTTATAGGAAAATCTCACAAAATTAATGGTGGACCATAAAATATTAATATTTTGAGAGATTCAGTGAATGAAGGTTTATTTTGACTACATTAGAATCATTAATGTAGCTTATTAATTTATATATTATATTTGTCCACTTTTAATTGTCATATTGCACTTTTCAAAAGTCAATTTGACTAATTTTCAAAGTTAATTTTGATTACATTAATTCGATATTTTAAACAAAAAAATTTAGATATTCAAAAATTATACAAAAAGTATTATAAATTCAATTTTTTTGCATATCAATATGATGAAAAATACATCGTAAAATGTTAGTCAAAGTTATTATAGTTTGACTTCAAAGAAAACTATGACAATTAAAAGTGGACGGAGGTAGTTGAATATTTATTGAATTCACATAAAAATAAAATTATTTATTATATATAAAGTACAATGAATACATCAAAATGATTGTATCTTACTAATTACATTTATTGAATTCATACAAAAATATATTTATTATACATAAAGCACAATGTATGTATATGATTCATTCTAATATATATTTTTTTGCTAAATAGATCATTGTAAAATAAATTCAATAATTCATTATAAAATTAAATTCATTATACAAAATGTTCATTGTTTCTTAATAATCAAATTATTATCATTATATTTTTACTAAAAACATTCAATGTATGATGGTAAGAATAAACTATATAAGCAACATAGGAAATTTCTTGAAACCATATCCAAAAATGGCTTCTCATTTAAAAGATATCACAAAAATCAACCATATATTTATATAGGGGTCTTCTAAAAATAGATTATCTTATTATTTTATCGAAACAATTGATTTTTTCATTGACCCAAATCGGGACCGGAGGAAAACGTTGTCTTAGAAAGATTATTAATTTATCGAGTATTAAATTAGTGAGGTTTTACTGAACTTCTACTTTCTATTTGTTTGGCCATCCATAATGATCCAAGTGTCTCAGTTTATGCGGCAACTTCGGGTTTCTTTAATTTATTTTTATTCTTAGTATTAATTACTTATTTTCTAAATAATATTTTAAGATTTATTAAAAATCAATTAATAGGGATTATATTGAAAATGGGTCACCACTTATTTATACTCTAATAAAAACATTTACAGTAAAATCTCACAAAATTAATGGTGGACCATAAAATATTATTATTTTGAGAGATTCAGTGAATGAAGGTTAATTTTGACTACATTAGAACCATTAAAGTAACCTATTAATTTATATACTATATCTGTCAGCTTTTAAATTGTCAGATTGCACTTTTTAAAAGTCAATTTGATTAATTTTTAAAGTTAAATTAGATTACATTAATTCGATATTTTTAAAAAATAATTAGATATTCAAAAATTATTCTAAAAGTATTATAATTTCCAACTTTTTGCATATCAATAAGATGAAAAAATACATCGTAAAATGTTAGTCAAAGTTATCATCGTTTGACTTCAAAAAAAGGAAATTAAGGTAGTATCATATTTATTGAATTCACATAAAAATTAGAGAAAGTCAGCCCTCGTACAAACCAATGAACTCTCTCTGCCTCATCGGGAACAATAGTAATAGCATGCCTAGAATGCTCACAGAACCAGGCCTCTTACTCACTCACAGACAAATTGCCCTATCTCAAGTTCTCAAACCTCAGTTGACTCCACTCTCCAAGGAATGAAGCGGTCCTGGGAAGCACTGGAAAACACAACTCACTCTACTAAAGGAGATCTAACTAGTCTAGATCTCCAAAAAGTCCTCCACTGCTCACTGGCGCGTCCGCGCAGTTGAAGTGCAATAAAATGAACAGCACGAGCATCCATCATACCCACTTCCTCATGCATCTCATGGCACCAAGTCAAGAACTCATGAGTATCATCGCTCTTACCACCTTGAAACTCTGGTGGTTTAATATTCTGAAACCTCTCATAACACTACTACTCAGATATCGCCAGAATAATCTTAGGAGCAAATTGAATACCTATAACCGGTGCCGGAACCACTGGTGATTGACCCATCTGATCCTGAATACCCAAAGTCTGTTGCTGCTAACCTGGAGTCTGCGCTCCTAATTCAGCTTGAAAACCATGTGATGTACCTATTGCACCACCCTAAGAAATGTTCTCTAGTGCACCAAATATCCTCAACAAAATCTCCTGAAACAAGTGAGATCCAAACATGTGAGGAACCTGGTTCTAAGCAACCTCAATATGTGGCTCAACTGAAGTCTCTCTAGCTCTGCCTCTAGCTGGTGCCACTTCATGGGCACGGCCTCTAGCCGGTGCAATTCCACGAGCATAGTCTCTAGCTCTAGCCCAACCACTACCCCTAGTTGAGGTATCAAGAACTGTTCCCCTACCTATGGAAACAGAAGCTCTAGTCCTTGACAACTGCCAAAACAACATGCAACAACTAAGCACTAGCAAAGGAAACCATGCACGATAAGAAAGAATAAACAAAAGAAAGCTTTCTAACAGTCTTCATAGCCTCTCAAAGATAAGAATAGACGTATATGTATCCTTGAGTCTCTACTTAGACTTGGCTTGTACACATATGAGACTTATGAACCTAACTCTTATACCATTTGTTGCAACCCAAAAATGGACGTGATGACACTTGTCTATTCCCTGAAAGACAAGTCAGCCTCAAACAATCGAAATGAAAGAAAACCAGAAAGATAAAAACAAGGACAAGACAAAAAAGCAAGGGGTGAGTATCAACAACACGGTACCCAACAAGCAACCTAACAAACCAAGCAACTAGCTAGAAATCAAATACTCATTTTCGTTCCAACAAAACCTCCTCAAACTACAACCTGCATAGAAATCAGTCTAACCTAACAATTATACAATAAACATGTCACAAAATTCAAAATTCACTATCCAAAAGCTATAAGTCAAGAACCAACACGCATCAAGTAGTTAAATCACAAGTATCAAGTACGTCAATCGCATTAAACAATAGGTCGATCATAAGCATCAAAATGAATCAAAACAAAAGAATCAATTCTCGCCAGAACCATTTTCCATCGGCTCTATATCAATCTTTAGTCGAAAATGACCTCGGGTTTATATCAAGCACTAGCCAGAAATGACCTCGAGTTTATTTCAATCACTAGATTAAAAACCTTCGTCTTTATATCAATCACTAGCCAGAAATGACCCTGGCATCACAAGTTCTTGTCAGAAATGACCTCAGCATCATAAGTTACCACATGTCTCATCACGGTGGCCAACAATCAATTTACACTACACGGAAGAGACAACGATTCAAGTAGTTTAAATCAATTCAAGTCCACGTTCATGCATTCAAGCAATTCACCAACCAATCAAATAGGGAACAAAACAAGAATGGAGGGAGCAATAAACCCTTCACCTCAATCCCAATTACTCCCCAACTCACATACAATGAAGGGAAGCAAACAATTCTACTAGATTACACAATTTAAGAGATCACTTGTCTTAAAGCAATTAATTAATCAATCTAAATACTTGAGTTTTCCCCTTCCGAATCACTTCCAAAGCAACACAATCTACAACAATCAAGTATTCTTCCGAGAAAACAATACGCATATCAATTACTTAGAAATATGGGTTAATCAACTCAAAACTCAATTTTAAAAAGGAGGTTTGAATCCTAAAACTAATACTTGAAAAATGATATTTAAGGCCTTAGGAACTCATTAGTGAAAACCATTTAAAAGAAAAGAATAAAATCAATTTAAAATCTTCATTTTAGTTAAGCGGATATCGCAAAAGCGGCCTCCGATTCACTTAAGTGAACCTTGCTGAAGTAGACTTATTCGCAAAAGCGATGCTCCATTCACTTTCGCCAAGGTTCACTTAAGCGGACTAACCTTCACAAAAGCGAGGTTAGCAGACACCAGAAAATTCAACCAGAATAAACCATCGAATGGACCCGTGAGATTCGTTCGAAACCCTGTACACACAAATCATACATGCAAATCGATTATACTTGGCTTTCCAGACTAACTGGAACCATCAAAATATGAATTTGAGGTCTCCTTCACCCCACATCCCAGAAACCACAAGAAACTAACACAATGCTTAAAAAGGATAAAACTACCTCTGAACCTCTAAAAATTTAACCAAGACCTCACTTAGAAAAAAAATTATCCTCCAAATCCAACAGAACTCTCAAAATTCTGATTGAGTATCCGAACCCCGAATGTTGACTAAAGTCAACTCAAAGGCTAAATTTCCACAATTTCACAACTTAGAACTTCAAATCCTCAAAAACATTTTGAATCTGAAACCGACAACTCTAATTGACCAATTTCCGCATTTCGGAACTAATGGAATTGACATAATTCTATTTCGACACTCAAAACTTCAAAAGACTCTGAAAACCACTTTTAAGCAACTTAAGCCTTTCAAATTTAAAACTTACACAATGCTCAACTTTAAACTCAAAGTTTGAAACCAACTTTCAAAACTCAATTAGAAACAACTTGAGGTCAAAATAGGGAGGGGCAGAATGGTAATTTTTCAAAAATGACCAACCGGGTCATTACATACATATTTTCTTAAGTCCACTTCCAAAACCTTTTCTTTTTGGGTGTAAGAAAAATGATGAGAGATTCTTCCTTTCTATATTCTATTGTGTTGGATTTTCTTCTTTATTTAATCTTTCGTAGATTTTGATTCCTAGTTATCTATTATTATAAGTGCTTGTTGAATACTGAGGATACATTTACATCATGTTAAATATTCTTAAGGAGTCTCATTAACAAGCCTCAAAGCTTAAAACAATTCCCTACAATGTTACTGATAAAGTATTTTTCATAACATTCTCGTCCATAGAATATATACATATGTTAGATATAGTATTAAGAAAAGGTTCAAATAGTTAAAAATAATCAAAAATTATAATGTGCCTAAAGCATGATCCATTTATATAGTTAATGACGATTGCCAGAGTAGCTGAGTGTATCTTTCAAGTTAATTTAATAAGTGATGTGAGTTCTTTCGAACTAGCAAAAAGATTTGACTTGAGCACAATCTAAGCAACAACATAATTTACTTTTAAATTTTTTACTAGTAAAACTTCACGCGTTTTATATTTGATTGTATATTATTTAGGAAAATATCTCAAAGAAGCTTTACAAAATTGTTGAGATCTATGTAAACAAGTTTTTAGATAGGAATCAATATAATTTAATGGTTTCATAAATTAAAGAAAAAAATAGAATGACATTTCTAGCAGTGTACATGGACCGGGTTGGTTTGGATTTTTTAATATCAAACCAAATCATTGGTGTCGGATTTTTAAATCTATAAATCAAACCAAACGAATAAATTCAGGTTTTTCAACCTCGGAATTTTTTTGGGTTTTTTAACAACTTTAGCCTTTCAAATTCAAATCTTACCAAATTCTCAATTTTTACTCAAATCTTAAAACAAACTTTCAAAACTCAATCAAAATTTATAACTCGAGGTCAAAATCGGGAGGGGTAAAATGGTAATTTTATGAAAATTTTCAAAATGACCAACTGGGTCATTACACTATCTGCCGCCAATCCCTACGGCCAATCACCTCTATAATTTATAATGAATAAGTATGCACATTCAGAGATATTGAAAAAATCTTAATCATTAATTTATTCACTCAAACATCTTAATCTTAATAAGAACAAATGAGGTCTTATACACTATATTTACCTAATATAACAAAAGTTTCTGAAATTCACCCTTTATTAGTGATATGACAGCTCTCTGAAATTCACCCTTTATTAGTGATATAACAGCTCCTAAAATTTGTTTTCCGTTTGATGTAACTATGCAAACTATCGTTTTGTTTGATAATTAGACCTCAAATTATGATTTTGAATTTTTTCATTTACGAAAATAAAATAAAATAATAGGTTTTGTTTTTTTTTTTAATTAGATACAACCATAATAACTTTTTTAAAAGTCATTACTATAAGTTTGGTTTGATAGCTAAACAAATTATGAAAAAACAAACAATCAAATGGGAAAAATCTGAGTTTGGATAAATCTATTGATTAGTTCAAATTTAACTATACATTTTGATCCGTGCAAATTTTGTATAATAAGTTATTATTCAATCTCCTTTTAATTTGTTTTAACTCGCACAAATTTAACCAAATAAGTCCATGAGTCTTGTTTGTTTTAAAATAAATTAGACTATTTTTGGTCAAAGAGAGACAATAGTGCTATATCATTCTTTCAAGAACTTAAAATTTCTTCAATCTGAAATAAAAAGTTAGGCAGATCAATTCTCAATCAATATATGTGCTAGGGTAAACTAAATTCACTTTTACTTGAATATCTAGAAAAAAAAATAGAGTAAAGAACAACAAAACGAAAGGTAGTGATGGAAATATTAAACTTCAACTCCTAGTAATGAATCTGTAAAAATCCTAAATCTAAAGAATTTAGTAAACAATAGCAAGAAATAAATAAATAGACTCTATCATCCTTTTAGGAACCCACCAGATTTCTCCAATTTGTCTTCGAGTTGATCCTCTTTGTCCTTCAACTTCCAAAGATCTATTGTGGCCTCAAATCTTTCTTTCCTGGTATCAGTTCCACTTTTTTATTGGTTTTTAATGTCATTTGTTCGGTTGTTTATCTCTTGTCTCGTATCTACCAACTTCTCCCATTTCTTCTCAATTGTTTTGTTTTTTGAGGTAGACATTCTTGTGTTTGATGTACTATATATCAAACTAATTTGAACAACTGTGAATGCAAAAGTAACAAAGTTAATAATAAACAAATCAAAAATATGTAATTTTAAAAATAGTTTCTTTCATATATATTGACTTAAAAGAAAAACGTATGGTATTAATTTTGTGTCCATGAACTTATGTTGATGATGAAGCCTAACTCAGTTTATTACATGCATAATAACACTTCATATTGTTTATATAGACACCAATGTCTTAGTTTTTCCTTAATTTTTACTCTATATTTTACTCTTGCAAATCAATGTAAATATTACTAAAAATAAGAATTACCTTATTTTGATAGAGAAATACCAAATAAAAACCCTGGAAAGATATAGAAAAACTTATAACTCCAATAAAAGAGTAGACAAAGAAAATGAAACTTTGATTAGTCCTACAAACCTTTTTTAAACGTTTTCTTAAAAAGATCTTTCTAAAACATCGAAAAAAGTTTGAGACCAATAATAAAAGGTGCTATATTACCACTATTTTATTATTTGATGGCAAACTTTTTTTTTTCTTCCAATTCCAATGTATATATTTTCTAGTCGACCATATGGTGATTTTCATTTTTAGTAATATTTTCAATTAACACACTAAAATAGAAAGAAAAAAAAAGTAAGGACATCTATATAAACAATAGAGAATATGCAATTAATAATATTGCTCTTCTTTCATAAAGTTAAAGTCCGTATTAAGTTCTTTTGCTTTTCTTAAAAACATAACAATTAATAATATTGCTCTTCTTTGTCTTTATTTAATTTTTTGTTTTTTATGAAGAGGTTTATATAGTACATTCACGCATGAACAAAATCAATATATTATGACATAAGAAAAGTAAAAAAATTGTAAATGTGTTTTGATTTAGTTTTGCATTAATCTATATAATTATGTTACCTATTGTAGTGATAAATGCTGTTATTATGTTGGCAAGTATCATATCTCTTATTTTAGTTTTCATTTTACCGAGTCTTGTGATACTAATGAGGGTCTGATTTAAGAGTTTTCTTGTGTCAGATTGAAAAAGAACGCGAGGGTGAGCAGATTTATGGAAGAATGTTCTTGATATATTTGCTGAAATTGGAAGGAGGGAAATGGAGTATTATGTGAATGACTTTGGAGTATTATGTCATAGAAAACAGAACTTCTATGACATAATACTCTAAAGTCATTCACATAATACTCCATTTCCCCCTTCCAATTTCAGCAAATATATCAAGAACATTCTTCAATAAAGCTGCTCACCCTCATGTTCTTTTTCAATCTGACACAAGCAGACTCTTAAATCAGACCCTCATTAGTATCGCAAGACTCGGGAAAAATGAAAACTAAAATAACAACATTTATGTTACGGATGATCTTCCCTTGACAAAAGTTGATTCAGCCAAGTCAATTGCCCTGCATAGACAAGCTACTTTATCTTCACATTCTTTCTGTTTCTCATCAGGAACACTATCAGCGATGATTCGAGCCTCAGATTGGAGATGTGCAACCCATTCCTGACGTGTGTATGAATACATTGCGTCATAACGAGGTTCGTTCATGAACACCATCGTCCTTAGAGCTAATCCTATGTCCATGTCACCTGAAAATGAAATGCCTCCAAATCCACCACTGTAAGGCCCTCTCCGACTCACCTCTAGTTAATCGATCAACTCCATTGCCTTAACCTGGATCATAATTGAACAAAGAACAGGACTATAAATAATTCCATAGTGTACAAATTTGTAGCAGCAAGTTAAATCTAGAAATGAATGAAACTTCAACTTTGGTCCTTATAGTATTAACACAAATAGATAGGCTTGTTTGGTTGGGAACAAGTTATCTCAGGATTTGTAACATTTCCATCAAATTAGTCACATA